ATATATGTGGGTGTCTCCTCTCTTCCTTGGCGCTCTATCCCCTCCCCCCATACAGTATATATACACAAAAAGAAAAAAACAACAGTGACTGCAGAGCTCAGTCTCAGTCATGGGAAGGCGGAATCCGGTGAAGGCTCAGTCATGGGAAGGCGGAGTCCGGTTTAGGCTCAGTCTCGGGAAGGCGGAGTCCGGTGAAGGCTCAGTCATGGGAAGGCGGAGTCCGGTTTTAGGCTCAGTCAGTCTCGGGAAGGCGGAGTCCGGTGAAGGCTCAGTCCCGGGAAGGCGGAGTCCGGTGAAGGCTAAGTCCCGGGAAGGCGGAGTCCGGTGAAGGCTCAGTCCCGGGAAGGCAGAGTCCGGTTTAGGCTCAGTCTCGGGAAGGCGGAGTCCGGTGAAGGCTCAGTCCCGGGAAGGCAGAGTCCGGTTTAGGCTAAGTCCCGGGAAGGCGGAGTCCGGTTTAGACTAGACTCAGTCCCGGGAAGGCGGGAGTCCGGAGTCCGGTGAAGGCTCAGTCCCGGGAAGGCGGAGTCCGGTGAAAACTGAGTCCTGGGAAGGCGGAGTCCGTTGAAGACTGAGATTGAGCTCTGCAGTCACTTCTGTTGTCTCCTTATTCCGGGTCACAATCCTGCACAATGTCCTTTTGTCTCTATCAGTCAGGTGACCATGTGGGCGGGTGTTATGCTTATCAGACGCCATTTCCCGGAACCTGTTTACGCCGCCATCACCTTTCATACTGAACCTCGCCACACGGCCAATATATATCGGGACTTCAGTCACAGCGGCTCCGGCGGGGCGACACAATTCTCCCTCTATGAAGCTCAGTCAGCTCTGACATGACTCCGTATTACTAGCAGTGAGACCTCCCACCTGATAGCATCTTCCGCTTTCACCACCAAAACATGGTGGCACTTCAACTGCAAATCATGGAGGGTTTCCATAGTTTTCTCCAACCCCTCTACATTGTATACCCCATGGAGGAGAAGTGTATATATGCCCCTTAGGGGGAGGATGGAGGGACACCAAGAGGGAGACCAGAGAGAGAGAGGACACCAAGAGGGAGACCAGAGAGAGAGAGAGGACACCAAGAGGGAGACCAGAGAGAGAGAGAGAGGACACCAAGAGGGAGACCAGAGAGAGAGAGGACACCAAGATGGAGACCAGAGAGAGAGAGGACACCAAGATGGAGACCAGAGAGAGAGGACACCAAGATGGAGACCAGAGAGAGAAAGGGCAAAAGAGGGAGACCAGAGAGAGAGAGAGGACACCAAGAGGGAGACCAGAGAGAGAGAGGACACCAAGAGGGAGACCAGAGAGAGAGGACACTAATAGGGAGACCAGAGAGAGAGAGAGGACACCAAGAGGGAGACCAGAGAGAGAGACAAACACAAGAGGGAGACCAGAGAGAGAGAGAGGACACCAAGAGGGAGAACCAGAGAGAGAGAGGACACCAAGATGGAGACCAGAGAGAGAAAGGACACCAAGATGGAGACCAGAGAGAGAGGACACCAAGATGGAGACCAGAGAGAGAAAGGGCACCAAGAGGGAGACCAGAGAGAGAGAGAGGACACCAAGAGGGAGACCAGAGAGAGAGAGGACACCAAGAGGGAGACCAGAGAGAGAGGACACTAATAGGGAGACCAGAGAGAGAGAGAGGACACCAAGAGGGAGACCAGAGAGAGAGGACACCAAGAGGGAGACCAGAGAGAGAGAGAGGACACCAAGAGGGAGACCAGAGAGAGAGAGGACACCAAGATGGAGACCAGAGAGAGAGAGGACGCCAAGAGGGAGACCAGAGAGAGATAGAGGGGACGCCAAGAGGGAGACCAGAGAGAGAGATAGAGAGGACGCCAAGAGGGAGACTAGAGGACGTCACTTCTGTTCCCCATCCATTCAGATTCCCCCATAATGGCAGCATGGAGGAGCGGCAGTAGAAGTGCGGCAGGATTGGTTGGCACCGTTGTGACCTGTATGACTTTTGGGAGACCCAATGGGGGCAGCACCAAGCAGACAGTGTGAGTACAGTCACCCCCCGGGGGGGTTGAAGATGACATAGGAGGCCATCTTGGGGGGTCATTTTCACTGATGATTGCCCAGCAAAGCTACAAACACTCCAGGATTAGGCAGCCATTGTAGGAATCTGAGGCACCAATCACACTGACACACTGCTAACTGCCACTCCACATTCTAACATACCGCTAACTGACACCACATACTAACATACCGCTAACTGACACCGCATACTAACCGCTACTGACACCGCATACTACATGACCGCTCACTGACACACGCATACTAACATACCGCTCACTGACACCACATACTAACATACCGCTCACTGACACCGCATACTAACATACCGCTAACTGACACCGCATACTAACATACCGCTAACTGACACCGCATACTAACATACCGCTCACTGACACCGCATACTAACATACCGCTCACTGACACCGCATACTAACATACCGCTCACTGACACCGCATACTAACATACCGCTCACTGACACCGCATACTAACATACCGCTAACTGACACCGCATACTAACATACCGCTCACTGACACCGCATACTAACATACCGCTCACTGACACCGCATACTAACATACCGCTCACTGACACCGCATACTAACATACCGCTCACTGACACCGCATACTAACATACCGCTCACTGACACCGCATACTAACATACCGCTCACTGACACCGCATACTAACATACCGCTCACTGACACCGCATACTAACATACCGCTCACTGACACCGCGTACTAACATACCGCTCACTGACACCGCATACTAACATACCGCTCACTGACACCGCATACTAACATACCGCTCACTGACACGACATACTAACATACCGCTCACTGACACCGCATACTAACATACCGCTCACTGACACCGCATACTAACATACCGCTCACTGACACCACATACTAACATACCGCTCACTGACACCACGTACTAACATACCGCTCACTGACACCGCATACTAACATACCGCTCACTGACACCGCGTACTAACATACCGCTCACTGACACCGCGTACTAACATACCGCTCACTGACACCGCTTACTAACATACCGCTCACTGACACCGCATACTAACATACCGCTCACTGACACCGCATACTAACATACCGCTCACTGACACCGCATACTAACATACCGCTCACTGACACCGCATACTAACATACCGCTCACTGACACCGCGTACTAACATACCGCTCACTGACACCGCATACTAACATACCGCTCACTGACACCGCATACTAACATACCGCTCACTGACACCGCATACTAACATACCGCTCACTGACACCGCATACTAACATACCGCTCACTGACACCACGTACTAACATACCGCTCACTGACACCGCATACTAACATACCGCTCACTGACACCGCATTAACATACCGCTCACTGACACCGCTCATACCGCTCACACTGATACACCGCTAACATACCGCTCACTGACACCGCGTACTAACATACCGCTCACTGACACCGCATACTAACATACCGCTAACTGACACCGCATACTAACATACCGCTCACTGACACCACATACTAACATACCGCTCACTGACCGCTCATACTAACATACCGCTCACTGACACCGCATACTAACATACCGCTCACTGACACCGCATACTAACATACCCGCTCACTGACACCGCATACTAACATACCGCTCACTGACACACCGCATACTAACATACCGCTCACTGACACCACGTACTAACATACCGCTCACTGACACCGCATACTAACATACCGCTCACTGACACCGCATACTAACATACCGCTCACTGACACCGCATACTAACATACCGCTCACTGACACCGCATACTAACATACCGCTCACTGACACCGCATACTAACATACCGCTCACGACACCGCATACTAACATACCGCTCACTGACACCGCATACTAACATACCGCTCACTGACACCGCATACTAACATACCGCTCACTGACACCGCATACTAACATACCGCTCACTGACACCGCATACTAACATACCGCTCACTGACACCGCATACTAACATACCGCTCACTGACACCGCATACTAACATACCGCTCACTGACACCACTAACACTAACATACCGCTCACTGACACCGCATACTAACATACCGCTCACTGACACCGCATACTAACATACCGCTCACTGACACCGCATACTAACATACCGCTCACTGACACCGCATACTAACATACCGCTCACTGACACCGCATACTAACATACCGCTCACTGACACCGCATACTAACATACCGCTCACTGACACCGCATACTAACATACCGCTCACTGACACACGCATACTAACATACCGCTCACTGACACCGCATACTAAACACACCGCTCACTGACACCGCATACTAACATACCGCTCACTGACACCGCATACATACTAACATACCGCTCACTGACACCACACCTCCCAACATTTTGAGATGGTAACGAGGGACATCTATTAGCAAAAGTATGTAGGCGCAGGACACACCCCCTGCCACGCCCCCTAAAGGAGAATTATACAAAAAGACTAGTTAAACTAGTTAAATTGCTTTTGATTTAACCTTTACTATTCCTTTATGAACTGAAAAATCAAAGTCTGAAGACTGCGAATCACATTCTGAAAGCTCAAAAGTGCTTTTTCTATGCAACTATAGAGATCAGACCAAAATGAGGGACAGAGGACTTTGCTGCAAATCAGGGACGGTTGGGAGCTGTGTGACACCACCACTGACACCGCTGTGTACTAGGAGGGAATCCGGAGGATGGACATGACACCAGAACACTTGATGTCTCTATGGTGACATCACACACAGGGAGCCCTGTGATTGGATCCTAACTCTCTGACCCCATACATACACTATATTGCCTCAAGTATTGGCCCCTCCATATCATGTGATTCAGGTGTTCCAATCACCTCCATATCATGCAATTCAGGTGTCCCATTCCCCTCCATATTGTGTGATTCAGGTGCTCCAATCCCCTCCATATCGTGTGATTCAGGTGTTCCAATCCCCTCCCAATCATGTGATTCAGGTGTTCCAATCCCCTCCACATCATGTGATTCAGGTGTTCCAATCCCCTCCCAATCATGTGATTCAGGTGTCCCAATCCCCTCCACATCATGTGATTCAGGTGTTCCAATCCCCTCCCAATCATGTGATTCAGGTGTTCCAATCCCCTCCATATCATGTGATTCAGGTGCTCCAATCCCCTCCACATCATGTGATTCAGGTGTTCCAATCCCCTCCATATCATGTGATTCAGGTGATCCAATCCCCTCCCAGTCATGTGATTCAGGTGTTCCAATCCCCTCCATATCATGTGATTCAGGTGTTCCAATCCCCTACATATCATGTGATTCAGGTGTTCCAATCCCCTCCATATCATGTGATTCAGGTGTTCCAATCCCCTCCCAATCATGTGATTCAGGTGTTCCAATCCCCTCCATGGACACAGGTGTATACAATCCATCCCCTAGGCATGCAGACGGCTTCTACAAACATTGGTGAAAGAATGGGTCGCTCTCAGGAGCTCAGTGACTCCAAGCGTGGTCCCGTGATAGGTGGCCACCTGGGCAATAAGTCCATCCGTGACATTTCCTGGCTACTAAATATTCCACGCTCAACTGTTAGTGGGATTATAACGAAGTGGAAGCAACTGGGAACAACAGCCACTCAGCCACCAAGTGGTAGGCCACGTCACATGACAGGGCGGGGTCAGCGCATGCTGAAGCGCACAGTGCGCAGAAGTCGCCAACTGTCTGCAGAGTCAATAGCTAAAGACCTCCAAACTTGGTGTGGCCTTCAGATGAGCCCAACAATCAGTGCATAGAGAGCTTCATGGAATGGGTTTCCATGGCCGAGCAGCTGCATCCAAGCCTTCCATCACCAAGGGCAATGCAAAGCGTCGGATGCCGTGGTGTGTAAAGCACGCTGCCACTGGACTCTAGAGCAGGGGAGACGTGTTCTCTGGAGTGACCAATCACAGTTCTCTGTCTGGCAATCCGGATGGACGTGTCTGGGTTTGGTGGTTGCCAGGAGAACGGTACTTGCCTGACTGCATTGTGCCAAGTGTAAAGTTTGGTGGAGGGGGGGGGATTATGGTGTGGGGGTGTTTTTCAGGGGTTGGGCTTGGCCCCCTAGTTCCAGCAAAGGGAACACTTAAGGCGATATTTTGGACAATTTCATGCTCCCAACTTTGTGGGAGGAGTTTAGGGATGGCCCCTTCCTGTTCCAACATGACTGCCCCCCAGTGCACAAAGCAAGGTCCATAAAGACATGGAGGAGCCAGTTTGGGGTGGAGGAACTTGACTGTCCTGCACAGAGTCCTGACCTCAACCCCATAGAACACCTTTGGGATGAATTAGAGCGGAGACTGCGAGCCAGGCCTCCTCCCCCGACATCAGTGCCCCTCCCCCGACATCAGTGCCTGACCTGACAAATGTGCTTCTGGAAGAATGGTCCAACCTTCCCATAGACACCCTCCTAAACCTTGTGGACGGCCTTCCCAGAGAGTTGAAGCTGTTATAGCTGCAAAGGGCGGGGCCAACTCAATATTGAACCCTACGGACTAAGACTGGGGGGCCATTAAAGGTCATGTGCGTGGAAAGGGCGGGGCCAACTCAATATTGAACCCTACGGGCTAAGACTGGGGGGGCATTAAAGGTCATGTGTGTGGAAAGGCAGGCAGCCCAATACTTGGTGCAATATAGTGTATATACGGGGGGGGACAATACTTGGGGCAATATAGTGTATATACGGGGGGGGGGGGACAATACTTGGGGCAATATAGTGTATATACGGGGGGGCGGAGGACAACAATACTTGGGGTAATATAGTGTATATACGGGGGGGCGGGGGACAATACTTGGGGCAATATAGTGTATATACGGGGGGGGGACAATACTTGGGGTAATATACGGGGGGGGGACAATACTTGGGGTATATATACGGGGGGGGGGCGGGGACAATACTTGGGGCAATATAGTGTATATACGGGGGGGGTCATACGGGGGGGGGGGACAATACTTGGGGCAATATAGTGTATATACGGGGGGGGGGGACAATACTTGGGGCAATATAGTGTATATACGGGGGGGGGGGGACAATACTTGGGGCAATATAGTGTATATACGGGGGGGGGGGACAATACTTGGGGATATATAGTGTATATACGGGGGGGGGGACAATACTTGGGGCAATATAGTGTATATACAGGGGGGGCGGGGGGGACAATACTTGGGGCAATATAGTGTATATACGGGGGGGGGCGGGGACAATACTTGGGGCAATATAGTGTATATACGGGGGGGGGGGGACAATACTTGGGGCAATATAGTGTATATACAGGGGGGGGGGGGACAATACTTGGGGCAATATAGTGTATATACGGGGGGGGGGGGTGACAATACTTGGGGCAATATAGTGTATATACGGGGGGGGGGGGGGACAATACTTGGGGCAATATAGTGTATATACGGGGGGGGGGGGACAATACTTGGGGCAATATAGTGTATATACGGGGGGGGGGGGGACAATACTTGGGGCAATATAGTGTATATACGGGGGGGGGGGGGACAATACTTGGGGCAATATAGTGTATATACGGGGGGGAGGGGACAATACTTGGGGCAATATAGTGTATATACGGGGGGGGGGGGGACAATACTTGGGGCAATATAGTGTATATACGGGGGGGGGTGGGGACAATACTTGGGGTAATATAGTGTATATACGGGGGGGGGGGGACAATACTTGGGGCAATATAGTGTATATACGGGGGGGGGGGACAATACTTGGGGCAATATAGTGTATATACGGGGGGGGGGGGGACAATACTTGGGGCAATATAGTGTATATACGGGGGGGGGACAATACTTGGGGCAATATAGTGTATATACGGGGGGGGGGGGACAATACTTGGGGCAATATAGTGTATATACGGGGGGGGGGGGACAATACTTGGGGCAATATAGTGTATATACGGGGGGGCGGGGACAATACTTGGGGCAATATAGTGTATATACGGGGGGGGGGGGGGGGGGACAATACAATACTTTGGGGCAATATAGTGTATATACGGGGGGGGGGACAATACTTGGGGCAATATAGTGTATATACGGGGGGGGGGACAATACTTGGGGCAATATAGTGTATATACGGGGGGGGGGGACAATACTTGGGGCAATATAGTGTATATACGGGGGGGGGGGACAATACTTGGGGCAATATAGTGTATATACGGGGGGGGGGGGACAATACTTGGGGCAATATAGTGTATATACGGGGGGGCGGGGACAATACTTGGGGCAATATAGTGTATATACGGGGGGGGCGGGGACAATACTTGGGGCAATATAGTGTATATACGGGGGGGGGGGGACAATACTTGGGGCAATATAGTGTATATACGGGGGGGGGGGGACAATACTTGGGGATATATAGTGTATATACGGGGGGGGGGGACAATACTTGGGGCAATATAGTGTATATATATATATATAAGTGGAAACGGTTGGGTGGGGGATGGGCAGAGAAGTGGGAACTGAGTGACTCGGAGACAGCTTCTGCTTTTATAGAGACAACCAAGAGACTGCAGGCTGGACTCCAATCCCAGAGTGCACTGCTCCCCAGGTGCGTCCAGCAGGTGAGAGCTCAGACACACCCACACCTGCAGGATACAGATCACCACTACAGGAAGAGAGATACAAGATAAAGAAGAGACCGCAGATCAGAGAGCAAGCAGAGGAGACTGCAACTCGTACATAGCAAGAGACAGCCAAGAGAGACACGGCGTATAACAAGGTGAGTACAAGGAGAGGAGAGACTGTCAGAGATGAGAGGAGAGGAGAGACTGTCAGAGATGAGAGGAGAGGAGAGACTGTCAGAGATCAGGGAGAGGAGAGACTGTCAGAGATCAGATGGTAAGAGAGACTGTCAGAGATCAGAGGAGAGACTGTCAGAGATCAGAGGGGAGGAGAAACTGTCAGAGATCAGAGGAGAGACTGTCAGAGATTAGAGAGACTGAGAGATCAGGGAGGAGAGACTGTCAGAGATCAGGTAAGAGAGAGAGGAGAGACTGTCAGAGATCAGATGGTAAGAGAGACTGTCAGAGATCAGAGGAGAGACTGTCAGAGATCAGAGGGGAGGAGAACTGTCAGAGATCAGAGGAGAGACTGTCAGAGATTAGAGATGAGAGGAGAGACTGTCAGAGATCAGAGGAGAGGAGAGACTGTCAGAGATCAGAGGGAGGGAGAGACTGTCAGAGATCAGAGGAGAGAGACTGTCAGAGATTAGAGATGAGAGGAGAGACTGTCAGAGATCAGAGATGAGAGGAGAGACTGTCAGAGATCAGGGAGAGGAGAGACTGTCAGAGATCAGAGGAGAGGAGAGACTGTCAGAGATCAGAGGAGAGGAGAGACTGTCAGAGATCAGAGGGGAGGAGAGACTGTCAGAGATCAGAGGAGAGGAGAGACTGTCAGAGATCAGAGGAGAGGAGAGAGACTGTCAGAGATCAGAGGAGAGAGACTGTCAGAGATAGAGGAGAGACTGTCAGAGATCAGAGGAGAGGACTGTCAGAGATCAGACTGTCAGAGATGTCAGAGATCAGAGGAGGAGAGACTGTCAGAGATCAGAGGAGAGGAGAGACTGTCAGAGAGAGACTGTCAGAGATCAGAGGAGAGGAGACTGTCAGAGATCAGAGGAGAGGAGAGACTGTCAGAGATCAGAGGAGAGGAGAGACTGTCAGAGATCAGAGGGGAGGAGAGACTGTCAGAGATCAGAGAGAGAGAGACTGTCAGAGATCAGGAGAGGAGAGACTGTCAGAGATCAGAGGAGAGGAGAGACTGTCAGAGAGGAGAGGAGAGACTGTCAGAGATCAGAGAGGAGAGACTGTCAGAGATCAGAGGAGAGGAGAGACTGTCAGAGATCAGAGGAGAGGAGAGACTGTCAGAGATCAGAGGAGAGGAGAGACTGTCAGAGATCAGAGGAGAGGAGAGACTGTCAGAGATCAGAGGGGAGGAGATTTTTCTGAGATCTGTCAGAGATCAGAGAGAGGAGAGACTGTCAGAGATCAGAGGAGAGGAGAGACTGTCAGAGATCAGAGGTAGGAGGAGAGACTGTCAGAGATCAGAGAGAGGAGAGACTGTCAGAGATCAGAGGAGAGAGAGACTGTCAGAGATCAGAGGAGGAGAGAGAGACTGTCAGAGATCAGAGGGAGGAGAGACTGTCAGAGATCAGATGGGAGAGGAGAGACTGTCAGAGATCAGAGAGAGGAGGAGAGACTGTCAGAGATCAGATGGGAGAGGAGAGACTGTCAGAGATCAGAGGAGAGGAGAGACTGAGAGATCAGAGACTGGAGAGACTGTCAGAGGATCAGGAGAGACTGTCAGAGATCAGAGGAGAGGAGAGACTGTCAGAGATCAGAGGAGAGAGAGAGACTGTCAGAGATCAGAGGAGAGGAGAGACTGTCAGAGATCAGAGGGAGAGAGAGGAGAGACTGTCAGAGA